ATCACCATACTGTCAGATGTATACAAAAATGAGCATTATGTAAGGGTAGCCACTGTGGCATTATTTTTAATAGCAGGAAATGGGGCAATCTAGGAGACTGGTTAATCAGTTCATTCCAACACCAGAGTACTGTGTAGTTGTTTAAGAGAATGGGGTTTTATGGGACATTATCTCCAAGATATCTAATTAAATCAGAACAAGCAGCAGTGAGGCTCTTTTATTTATTAAAAGGAGGAGGTTGGTTGTGTGCAGATGTGCTCTGTCATGCATGAACTCTGGAAGGATACACAGGAAACTGGGGGTACTGATAGACCCTGTGGTGGGAGACAGACTACTTTTCTTTAGTGTGTCCGTTTATACTGTTTGAACTTTTCCCATAATCAGATATTTACTTACTGAAGACAAAAATAAAAACAAAAATACAAGGGAGGTATGAAAGAAATCCTACATAATTTTTGTATTTCTTTGCTCCCTTGTTGTGTGTGGGATCATCTGGCCAAGCACATGGTAGAGATTTTGCCATTAACAAATGAGGATGGAATCATTTCAGTTACTTGCTTTGTGCTCATGAAAAAAAAAAAAAAAAATGAACACTTTATTTACTGTCTACCACCCTATGCAGTAGTTAATAGTATCTTTATTTAATGGTGAAGGGAAAGGGTCAGGCGAAGTATTTTGTCCTGGGTGACAGGGCTGCAAGCAGCACAGCTGCCACTGGAATCTGTTTAGGTGGTGGGGCCATGACTTTTCCACTATACTTAGGTGGCCTTGTCTTACCTGGCACATCTTGTCTTAGCAGTGTTGATATTCTTCTGTACATAGGTACCGATGGGCCTTTATTCCAGAAGCCTCGGATGACTCCGGTTTAGAAGTCAGAAGGCAGGGCATACACCAACGAGAATTTAAACCTTATGTAGTTCGACTAGCAAAACTTCTTCGGAAAAGGGCAAAGGTATTGTATTTTTTCTTTTTAAATGTAGTTAGAATTATAAAATGTATTTATATCATGTCTTATGTACCGTGTGTCTTTCAGTATGCATCAGGCTAATTAGAGGTCTTTGCCCCAGAAAATAATGAATTTGGCATGCTCTTCAGTGAGCCTTTGTTCCAAATCTTTTGTCTTTTTCAGACATTAAAAATTTTTCAGGGACACCTGGCTGACTCAGCTGGTCGAGCATCCGATCCTTAATCTTGGAAAGCCCATGTTGGATATAGAGATGACTTACAGAAAATAAACGCAAAATTTTTAAAATTATTTTTTTCAAAAAATGTAAAGTTTGGGGATGATGTGGGTTTGCAGTATGTGCTTTGAGTGCTCAGAAATTTCCCAGTCTTCTGGGGTCCCCTAATCAGGCAGCTGCCCCTGAACTAAATCACATTCCACAAACAATGGGATGGAGGAAAGTGATTAAAGAGGAGGTTGTGTTTGAAAGATCTAAGGAACTTGATTTTCAAATCAAGTTGTTTCTTTAGGAACTAAGTGAAAGGGCAGAGATGAAGGTGAAAGTTGGATCCAGAGTTTAAGGCTAGGACTTGGGTATTTCTCACTTTGATATTACAGGGTTTGAAAAAAATAATCATGGTGACAAATCCAAAAGCCAAGTGATGATCTATATGACCCCAGGCACATGCACTTTCTGTCATCCCTGCATCTCATAAGTATTGACCGTATCTGTAAGACCACTCTCTGTATCTAAGGGATAAACAAGACCGCCTTTTGCCTAAAATGTGTCTCCCAGAGTAAGAAAACAGTTTTGATTAGAGAGCATTTTCTACACTTTAAACAAGGTCTTCATGGCCAAGCATACTTGTCATTGGAACAAAGGCTCTGAGTTCTCCTCTTTCCTTCCACAGGACAAGGAGGAGGACTTTAAGACAGTGATTTTGGAGGGATTGGAGATGGCCAAGCATCAGGTGAGGGTGGCTTTTTGATGCTTGTGATGTGGCAGCAAAAGTTGCCACATCTAGACCAAATATTGAGACACAAACCCAGGTCTGGATCTCAACAAGTACAAGAGAGGTAAAGAGGAAGGAAGTCTGTCTTCAAGTGTAGACTGGTGAAGTGAAAGGAGAAATCATTTTTATGGAAACATGTCTGACTTTTTAACTTTATTTATTATTGAGGAAGTGTAGTTCTGATGAAGAGAACACCAAAACAAGGGTACTTGTTATGGGTCAAGAGCTTAGTAGTAAAAGTCCCCTCTCTTACAGGTACATCTTGGCAGGAATATAAACAAAAGATTACACCTCAGTTACATTTGAAAACTAGTTGTATAGGGGGTTCAAGCATGCCTTTTCCCTCAGTATAAATTCATGTCTATTTACCTTTTAATTACTGTTGGATTGCAGTTTGACTTAAGGGACTGGAAATGTATGGTCAGCCACCCAATGGTTGCCAGTGATGAGAAAGTCAGTCTGGGACACTCATTAAAGCCAGTGTTCTAGTTAAGCAAAAGGAAGAGGTTTTCTATATCCTATATTTTAGACTGGAGGTTAAATAATTGCTCTTTTTTCTTTTTTTTCTGGCTATAGAGAACTGGATGATCTTTTTTGTTTTCTCCTATTATAACTTCAGTCTATTTTCCTTTCTCGGGATTTCATTTTTAAGTAAGCAAACAAAGCTTGTGATCACACGTAAGAAAAAAGCTGGATTTTGCATCTGCTCTACTAGGAAACTAGCGTTATTAAAAATTAGATTAACAGTTTTTAAGTTTAACAGTTTAAAAGTTTCTCAGCAGCATCTGGTCTGAGAAGGCAAACTATTTGTTAACCAATAGGACAGACTGTAGTTCTGCTTTTTAAGTCCCCCTTGATGATTTTTCCCCTATTTTCTATCCAGTCCATGTCTATCTTCATTCTCTCCACTCTGTGTGTTTTTATATCTGTGGTTCTGCCCTAACTCAGACATCTCCAATTCTCTCAGAACTTTCCCTAGATAGACTGAGGTCTACATCTTTGTATCATCTGGTTGGCTTTTTAAACCAGCCTCTTGGTACACAAAATACTTTATTTGCATTTACATTTAGTTGACAAGAGTTTTCACCTACATTCTCATTTGACTTCTCTGCTGGATAGATTATACTTCCCCACTTTTTAAAATGAGGAACCTCTCTGTATCTTACCCAAGGATGTCCCTCAGTGAGTAAAAGGCAGAGCCGTAACACCAACCCTGTTATTTTGACTCCAGGTCCAGCTTTCCTCCCCATGTTGTTTAACACAATGAAGCAGATGGCAGTGTGTCTCCCAAGTGTTCCTTTACTTTCTCTCATACTGACTTAATCACTTTGAAGCTTGCCACCATGTTGTGGCAAGTATAAGCCACTTGGCTAAAAGGGAACTACCTACCTGATTTACGAGTGGTGACATGGAGACGACTGCTATCTCTTCCTAACCTTATTCTCTTCTCCTGGGTCACCTGCGTGGGAGTCCAGAAATCTGGGAGCTTTTTGAGTATATGCAAAGCACAACATAAACTGTTAATTTTTGACTCTCCCTCTCAAAAAACCAGTTCTGCTAATGAAGTGTGCTCATGCACTCCAGTTAGAAAATGGGGCTGCAGTGTTGGGACTCTTCTGCCCACACTTCGTAACTGGCACAAAGAGGCTTCAGTTAGAAGCAAGAGTCTAATCAAGTCTGGAATGGAGACTTAGTGTGATCGTTTGCATTTGTTAACCATTGCTGATGTTTATACCCTTTGAAATGTTCTCATGGACCGTACTCTTTCGTTAATTACCATCCCCTTGTGTCTTCTACAGAAAAACCCGGAGGAAGACAACTCAGGGAGAACGCTGGGTTGGGAGCCGGGACGCCTGCTGCTCACCATCTGCGCTGTGCGCAGTATCGAGCAGCTCCTGCCATTCTTCAATGTGCTCAGCCAAGTCTTCAACAGCAAAGTTACCAGCCGATGTGCAGGCCACTCAGGGAGCCCCATCCTCTACTCAAACACCTTCCCTAACAAGGACATGAAACTGGAAAACCACAAACCATTTTCCAGCAAAGCCAGGCAAAAAATAGAAGAGATGGTAGAAAAAGATTTCCTGGAAGGGGTGATAAAAACTTGAAGCACTACAAGTGGTTCCGTTTAACTATATGTAAATGTAATTATTTAAAACAAACATTGCTCTGAGTTGTATAGTTTCTTTTTTTGTATGTAACAAAACATTTCAGGTTGTATTTAATTTAAATTTGTAAATACAAGCAAATGTCTGAATGTGGCCTGAATCAAGTTTAAATATTGTTGGCTCATATTGATTATGGTGCCTCAGAGAGATCTATATATACATCTATAGTCCATTGTTTGTTTTACTGTCCTGAATTGTCTTAAACCTGCAAAATACACACTGCACATTTTTTGCTACTGGTTTCAGGCTTTAATTTAGATTTGTTGGTATCTTCTTTCGGTTCTTGACCACATTCTAGTATCCGAATGGCGTCACTTCTCTGTGGGAGGCGTGGTCACGTATGACCGTTTTCTCCCACACACCTTCACTAAGCGGAGTACAGCGTAACTGGAGCCCAGGCCCTGCATCCTCCCAAATGTAGCACGAGCACCTCCATCTCCGTGCGGAGTAGAGACGCAGTCTCCATCTCACACCTCGGAACTTCTGATGATGTTCCTCAAAGAGGTAAGTCATTTAAGAATCATCCTAAATTTTGCTGTGGAAGAACTGGTTGTGTTAAGTCTCCTCCACCCTCCCCATTCATATGAACAGTGGGGAATCCTGCAAAATAGCGAGCGTGGTTATGTAATGGCAATGGAAAAGGCATTCCCAGGAGCTGATAATAAGGTTTAATTTTCCAGCAGCCCTCATGAATTTTCTCTGCATGTATTAGAAAGTTAACGACTGAAACACACAGCGAAGCCCAGATACTTTACATTAGTGAGACTGAAATTGGGTAATTTTTAAAAACGAAATTTAACAAGTATAAGGCTTACCTACTTCTAAACAATTACTATGGTAGTGTTTAAGAAAATCCATTCTAGAAGCAATACAATAAGATGCATTGTAAACATTTTGATTACAAATGTCTCTGAATCTGTCACAGTAATGGCAGTACTATTTTGTAAAAACTTTTTAAAAATCCGGTTTCTCATGATCATAAAAACTGTCTTCAGAGACCTAGTTGGGGTGCTTCTCCAACTCCTCCAGCCAGCTGAAATACTGCCAGGCTCACTGCATGTGCGAGGCTATCCGCATTTTCCTGCAGATTACATGAAAGGAGATTAGATGGGCACTAGCATCTATCAGGTAACTTGCAACTCTGAGGGAAGGGGAAGGAAGTTCTTGATTTTGTTTCACTAACATATTCAAATGAAATTTTTTTTTCAGTAACAAATTCCAAGACTCTTAGAAGATTTTGAGTTTTCCACTTATTTAAGGCAGGTGAGTCCTTAACTGATTTTATAGTCTAATTTGGTCATCATTCTGAAACTCAGTAATTCATCTAAACCTACTCCTTAGAAGCAAGGCCACAACTGGCCTAAAAGTAAGTAACTGTTAAGATCCCAGATGGCCTAGGCTTCTGCCAAAAAGCTGCCAGCTCCCTTATAAAATGCCTCCGTCTGAGGGCCTGCTCAACCCACTCTATATTGCCTCTGCTATGCAAACACTGTTATCAAGGGTTTAAGATGACGGTGTATGAAGAGGGCAAATTTTAAAATTCCACATCATGAGGTCTTTACCCTTATCTGGAGAATACCAGAAGGCAATGCTGTTTCAAGGTAATTATTTTAGAAAACAAAAGTCCAGAGACAAAGGGGTGCCTCAGTGGCTCATCAGTTGAGCGTCTGACTCTTGGTTTTGGTTCAGGTCACGCTCTCAGGGTTGTGAGATGGAGCCCCACACCCAGCTCCATGCGGATGCTTGTCTCACCCTCAGCTCCTCCCCCCAACTTGTGCACTCGCTTTCTCAAATAAAAAAACGTCCAAAGAGGAATTTTAATCAGCATATCTGATGGTACCAGTTAATTTGAACACGGACCTCAAAGCTGGTTGTTTCATAAAGCAGCACAATTATGTTTTTAAAAGAGGGGAAGAAAGGATAATCCACTTCAGGCAACATAAAGCAAACCAAGTCTCTGTTACTCATGCCATAGTGAGAAATAGGGCATTTTCAGGAAGTCTGGAATAAATCAAAAGTATTTGGGAAAATAAACTAAGTGGGTCTAATTTTGCTCAACTACTGATGAAAATAATTTTGTATTAATAATATGAACCTAAAAATCTGCATAAATAAATCTCAGACATTAAACCCTTAATTATCATGGTGATACTGTTAACACTATTAAAGTAGTTTTTTCTCCCACCTACCACACCCACTACCCATGTTGTCAGACTCTCACGGCACATTTTTTCAACAGAACTGTCCTAGCTTACCTGCGAGTCCGCTTCTGCATATACTCGGACTATATCTTCTGTACCAGAAGGCCGGACAAAAGCTCGGGAAAGCTTGTACTTCTTCACCAGGTCATTGATGGCCTCCTGTAGCCCCGGAGGTGTAACCACTTGTCTTTCAGCATCAGTGGTGCTAATAACTTGCCTGTCTGCAACCTATGCACAAACATGTCCTATTTATCACTGTATCACACTTCCTTGCAGAAGCCTGACCTCTTCAACACAATTCCAACCAAAAGACTGTGGCCATTTCACTTTAATAGTAACAGATCTACATTTCAGCTTATTGTACCCCCAGGTGCAAAACTGACAAATAGTTAGGTACCAGAATTAGCATAGAATGTAACTGCATTGAAATTTTATGGGGCCCCTGGGTGGCTCAGTGGATTGAGCATCTGACTCTTGGTCTCAGCTCAGGTTGTGATCTCAAGGTCATGAGATCAAGTTCTGCATGAAGCTCTGCGTGGAGTCAGCTTGAGAGTCTCTCCTCCCTCTCCTCTGCCTTTCTACCTGCTCACAAGTTCGCACATTAAAATCTTTTATAAAAAATTTTACAATTTTTTATTTCTGACAAAATTAGTTATTAGTATCAGTTGTACAGCTTTTCTTCTATCTCTACAGTTAGCACTAAAATAATGGCCAGTAAGTACTGTAGGACTTAAGCCACTAAATAAATAACCATAAGTATTTTTATAAAGTGGAAAGTAGCAACCTGTTATGTAAGAGGATCATAATAAAAATCATCTAAATATGCCAAAAACTAATCTGAACAATCAGTAGCCATTTGTGTGAACTTGGGCTTTTACTACCTCTTTCTTTCACAAAGACTACCTTTGTCTTTCACAAATGCTGTTGGTGGATATAGACACTGGTGTAAATCTGTACAGACATTTATATGAAATGCCTTTAAAAAAAAAAAAAATTCTCTCCCTAGCCCACAGATCCTACTTTGCAACATCTAGCCCCAGGAAAGTACATAGGAACCAAGAATCATGCCAAGGAAATATTTTCATTTGAAATGATAGGTATCAGGATTGCTTCAGAATAACAAGGGGGAGATGGAGAATGGTAAAGGACAACAGTTGAAATCTGTTGAAGCTGAGCCCATGAGGGTTTCATTATCTTGTTCTCCCCATTTACATGTTTTAAGCTTTCTCCATTTACATGTTTTAAGCTTTCCATAATAAAATCTTCATTATAAATAATAATATGTATCACTTTTTCTTTAAAGTTTGTAAAGTGAATACGTCTCAAACAACTGAAGATTTGAGAAAATAACATGATATAAGGCATTTTCTATGCAATATAAGGCATTTTCTATGCAATATATGTACACAATGAAATGTGAAACAAAGGAAATATTTTTATATAGAACTTGGAGATAATACATTTTAGTTAATGTTCAGAAAAGAAGTAATTTTAAAATCTCGCTCCCACCTTAACTTTGAGCTGTCTGTTTGGGAGATCTGTATAAAGAGCATCCCACTGCTGTACAGTCAAGCCCTTCAGGATCAAGACTGCCTCAATCACCAGCATGTCAGAAACAGCATCACCAGCGGTCTACAAGACATAATGGAAGAAAGTACTTTAACACTAGCAAAGCTTAGATATGAATGCTCTTAGATAACCAATCACAGTATCCTGTGCTTCCTTCCTGCCCCCACACAGGATTATTAAACTGGACTGGATGGAGAAATGAAAAGGGAATGGAAGGCCTGGAAGGCCATAATGAGTTACACCAAAGAACACCGAAACTAGCTCTTGAGAAACTTTCCTCTCACCTTCCTCATTGTAAATTAGACTGGATAACTCTTAAGGTTCCAGTATTAACATTCTATGACTCAAATTTTCCTTTATAACTAGATCTCTTGAGATACCGTACCATGACAACAGAAGGCATCATGGGGGTAAAGTGGTGTAAGACACACCTGAAGATGGATCCATACTCTTCACTTAGTAGCTCTGAGCCCTTGGTTTCTTCATTTATGAAGTGGGAATTATAATAACCCACCTCCCTCTGTTATTGCAAGGATAAGACAATGAGGTATGTCAAGTGCCTTGTATGTGCAAGATAAATATTAGTTCCATCACTTTTCCTCGTCCCACTCTTCTTCCACTGCCATACTGTAGACTCTAATCTCAACGATGCAACGCATATACAGAGAGACTAGAGAGCTGACTCTTGACTCTAGGTGGAAGTAACTCCTTATAATTTTCATCATAAAACACAGGAGGAGGGAAGCACATCAATGTTCTATCACATTTCAGTGTAAATCTCAACTATATATAGCACTGTGGCAAGGAAGCTCCAGAACTTTGCTACTTTAATTATTTTCAGGTGCACCTAGGTGTCTCAGTCAGTTAAGCATCTGACTTCCCCTGACGTCATGATATCAGGATCCTGGGATTAGGCTCCCTGCTCCCTGGGAGTCTGTCTCTCCCTCTGCCCTTTCCCCCCATCGATCTCACTCTAACAAAATCTTTTAAAAAAATTTATACAGCATACTATTCTGTCTTCTGAATAACCTAAAAATAACCAGGAACCTGCCACCCCCCCTTCCCAGCTCTGACCTGGTTAATCAAGTCGATAACATTTTCAAGCATCTTAGCAGCTTTCCTTTTCTTATCTTCTAATTCTCTTGCTAGTTGTTTTATCTTTGTTTCAGCAGCTTTACTAAACAGTACCTGTAATAAAAGCATAAAACACAAAATCACAAAACACTATCCATGCCCCAGGCATCCTAGCCAAACCACTGTAAAAACTCTCAATGAAACTGAACAAACTGAGGGGGAAAATAATGGTAGCCTTAGAATGAATGAAATTAAAAAGATCAAATCAGAACCCAAAAAGATACTACTGGGGAGGGAGGGGATTCATTTATAAATTACAAAACTGGTTATCAAAATTTAAAGAGCTGATTACAAAGAAAATACGCCTGGCAGAGGCAATGTACATAATGAGTTCATTGTGTTTGCCCCTCAGCCAGCTGCAGCCATCCTGTGCAACCAGATTTTTAAGCCTATCTGTATCCATTTTACTTGGAAGAATATGTGATTCAACATAAGTAGTGCAGTTTTCTTGTCCTAAAAATTTTAAGGACATAAGCTAAGTAAAAGTAGAGGGTCATCGTATTTATCATATTATGGCAAATAGTACCAAGGATATTATATCCATCATGCTCCTCAAGATTCCTGTCATTTTAAAATTCTTTGGCCATGATTTTAGTGCCTCCCAAGGCTCAACACTACAGTCAGCACTTGATGGAAATAAATGTTTGTTGGTAAACTAAAATACACTCTGGCCAGTTTTTGCCGGAACACAGCCATACCCACTCATTCACTTTACACCAGCAACAGAGACCTTATGGCCCAAAAAGACTAGAATATTTACTATCTGCCCTTTAAAATCATTTATCAATCTCTGCATTAATTAGATCACTGAAGTTATATTTTAACTGCATTTCCTAAGAACTTGTTATTTTTCTTATGTTCAAGGACCCAGAAGCCAGCTCGGAATTAAGGAGGAGAATAATCTGACCCAGATAACATATTTTCTGTTGGCCACCTCCAATCCATTTATGAAATGAGCTGAGGTATAAAAATGTTTAAAAAAAATCAACTTTATGAATATACTAAAAGCCACATAATAAACTTCAAAATGGTGAATTTTAAGATACGTGAACTGTATCTCAAACTTTTTTAAACATTCTACCTACAAAATGCACCCTAAAAATTAGCTTATTGCTAATTACATTCATTTCTAGTTGTTCATAACTTAATTCCCAAGCGTTCCAACACTTCAGGTCACCACAGCTACTGAATTTTCCTTTTACCACCTATGGCCAGTTCAAAGAAAAGATTTTAAACAATATGTAGATGATCTGCTTATTAAAAAAAGAACGGCATGGTTTTTTGTTTGTTTGTTTTTGTTTTTTTTGTTTTTTTTTTTTTTAAAGATTTTATTTATTTATTTGATAGACAGAGATCACAAGTAGGCAGAGAGGCAGGCAGAGAGAGAGGGGAGGAAGCAGGCTCCCCGTGGAACAGAGAGCCCGATGCGGGGCTCGATCCCAGGACCCTGGGATCACGACCCGAGCCGAAGGCAGAGGCTTTAACCCACTGAGCCACCCGGGTGCCCCAAGAACGGCATGTTTTTTAAGAAACAATCATCTCTTCATACTCAAAGAAAATTATCAATCTAAAAACCATTCTCACAACACATAGGAATATAGTAAGTTAACCAAATAATCTTACTCTACCATCACACCAATCATTTCAACAAAGGGGGATATAGCCTCTTACCATCCAGATACAGAATCCCCATCGTTAAAAAAGTCCAGCTAAAGCTGGTTGTAGCTGATTAGGAGGACTTACCGTCCCATGCCCATTTGCTTCGAAATAAACTCCAATGTCAAACTCTTGAGCCTTGTGGTGTAAATGTTTTACACCAGTTTTAGTACAATAGACAGGTACCTATGACAGATATTTAAAAAGAAAGATAACAGCAGTTATTCAACGGCAAATGTTTATTACGTACCTACTCTCTCCCAAGGATAGAACAGGGAACAAACCTCCTGGAGCTTGCTACTGAGGCAGACAATTAAGCAATTAAAATACAAAGTGGTGTTAGTATGGAGGAGAGAAGGCACTGTAGAAGCCCACAGCCAAGGAAAAAGCAAGAGAGAGCCCCCAGATAACATAATGAAAGATTATAATTGGGGAGTGACATGATCTAACTGTAGAAAGCTCAGCTACAGGAGAATGGCTTATAAGCAGTAGGGGTCTGCAAGCTTTTACTACAAAGGGCCAGATGATAAGTATTTTAGGCTTTACAGACCATATGATCTGGGTCACAATGGCTCACTTCTGCCACTAGTATAAGAGCAACCACAGACAATACAGAAACAAATGAGCATCGCTATATTCCAATAAAACTATATAAACACGTGGCAGACTGGATTTAGTCCACAGGCCCGTGTTTGCTATCCCCTGGCTTAGAAGGTTCAAAGAGATTGATTAGGAGGTTTCTAGGACTAATCCCATTAAATTATGGTGGTCAGACTAGCAACACTGTGCAGCCCAAGTCTTGGATGGATCTGAAAGAGAAGAGTGGTTAAGACGGACAGTGGCACAACTGCAGAGATCAAGATCAAGTGAGATCAGCATTTGACTGGATTTAAAAGACCTCAGGAGGGGCGCCTGGGTGGCTCAGTGGGTTAAGCCTCAGCCTTTGGCTCGGGTTGTGATCCCAGGGTCCTGGGATCGAGCCCCGCATCAGGCTCTCTGCTGGGCAGGGAGTCTGCTTCCCCCCCTCTCTCTGCCTGCCTCTTTGCCTACTTGTGATCTCTGTCTGTTAAATAAATAAATAAATAAAATCTTAAAAAAAAAAAAAAAAGACCTCAGGAAAGGCTAGAGCTCAAATTACTTCATCCATCCATAGGAGAATGGGCTGATGATTAACAGTTTCTACTGTGTTCAGTTTCTTAAACAGGGTAGCTTACCTATAAAATTTTTTTACGACAGAATGTAAGAAATTACTAAAACATGTAACCCAAGTACTGGGAATAATCCTTGTGACGAGCAGACAACTGGGCCAGTTGGAGGGCCAAATGTGTTTACTAGAACCTTAAATTGGGTCACAAACTCACAGCCTCCAGATGTGTCTTATTTTGTGTGCCCATTTCTTTGGAATTTTGCATCAGTTGCCAAGACTTAAAAAGTAAGAGGTTCACATAAAAATTCAGATTTTCAGCTTGTCTTCGAAGAATCTGACTAAAGGCAACAACAGCAGGCCTGGTGGGCACTGTTCCTAGTCCTTTTCTCCCTGCTGCACTTCTTCACCTCACCTATCCAGATTCTACAAGAATCTGACCTTGCCAGTCTTGCTTAAAAAAGAATGAAAAGGCAACAAAAACTAGTAAAATGCAGAAATTTGAAAAGGAATACATAAAAGTTGGAAAATACACTAACTAGTGAGAAACATCTAATTGTGGCCATGGACCCTCTCACTCACTCATGGAGCAGGGAGTGTGGCTGTTAGGGCAAAAAAATAGGTACAAAACTACTAATAGATTGTATCCTCAGACCAAACTTTCCCTGTGAGCCTGAAGAGGTCCTGTACCCGGGCTTGTCTTCCTCAGCAAGAATGTCCTACCCTCAATAACTGATCAAAGTCCTCACACTGTACCATCCCCGGGGTAACATCTAATTACCCAGCCTGCCTTCAGGAGTTAAGGTAGATTTAGCCAGAATCCTCCCTGACCCCTGATGACTGCTCAGTAACTTTCCATCTACCAGCACCCTCCCCTCTTGTTCCCTGGCTACAAAATCTCCACCTTTCCTTGTTGTATTAGAACTTGAACCCAGTCCGCCTCCCCCACTGTGAAACCCCAAAGCAATAGTCCCTATGCCTACTGAATAGGCTCACTCCACAGGGCCACTTGTCACACGGTTTTTCGTAAATGTGCCTGATAACTGTGCTGGCAATCAGTGTTTAGTCCTTACCAAAAGAATAATAAAGGCTCTCATATCTCTACAAGAAGTAGTTAAGTGGCTGGCTCCTCGCTCTAACAAATGGAAACTCTCAAGGGCCTGGGAGACAGGGGTGCTATCTTCCCTGAAGTTCACATTTCAACGAGGGGACTCCAGACCCTTATGGGAAACATGCCTGAGCTATGAAACTTGCTTAGCCTTTAAAAAGATTTACAGTCATTATAAAGGAGGCAGAGAAAGAATTTACAAGTTTTCTAAAAGAAATGCTCTAAAAGGGAGGCAGGAGAATCTCTCTTTTCACATCAGGGACCATTTTTCTCCTATTTTTGACTTCTACTTACCCTTAAATGGACAACAGCTCAGTTTCATGTATTATATTCATGTATAACAATCTATTCACCTACATGAGGGCATTGTTTTCCTCACAGAAATATCTTAGATTAAGAAGCTACCAGAAAATGGAAATGGTTCAATACCTTCATAACTTCTTCAAGATAGCGTGTTGAACTTCCATTTGCATACGCAGTTTGTACAACACCAATATTCAAACTTTCTCCAATCTAGATAAAAACAATGATAATTGCCTGGCCATCAAAGGTAAAGACACTAACTACAAAAGCAAACATATAATGAGAGTTCTAAAGGATGACAAAATCATCACCCAGTTTCAGCTGTGTCTTAGTTTATGCAATAAAATGCCTAAAATGAAAATTTACATGAATGCCAGAAAAAAAAGCTAAAATACTTTTAGCTGAGCATTATTTAAATTCCGTTAAGAATCCTTTCTAAAGAAGCTTGTGATTTCTCGCTCTCGTTTTTTAAATAAAAATCTGTACTGTATTCTTAAAGTATACCTTTTCCCATATTATAATAATTACTTCTCATTACATTCTATACATAAAGCTGGCCTAAGATTTCCAAAAGAGCGAAACAGAATAAACCTGTCTCACATTATTAAGCATATTATAACATATTATAACAAGCTCTCAGAGGATGAGATTTTCTGTTTAAACTTGAGGCTTTGGGAGTGATGCTGGAACTCTCATTGAAGTCAGTTATGAGGAAACCAATGAAGCTTCAAATCACAACCGCCAGTATAAAGAAGAAGAGTACTACCTTCAAGTTCCAAATGCCCCATGCTGAAGTGACTAAAATTACCGGATCTTCTTGTATTTTCTGGCCACAAAGGTAAGGAACTCCTTAAGAATAGTGCCTCTGAGACATTCAAATGCCTGTTAGTCACCAATTAGTCTTGTTTTAAAGGGCAGTCAGTCACCCCACCATACCTCCAACAGGAGCTCTTTAAGGAAACTGCTAATTAGTGTTGCTATCTTGTCTCCATCTATGAGATGAAAGTGACCATCTACATCAAGGTAGTAATAAACAATTCTGTCTGCATCTCCATCAAAGGAACAGCATCTTTCATTAGACTTCATTTCCATTCCTAGCACACAGAATTTTAAAATGCATTTCAGTCACAGAAATGGGAATAAACCTCCATATAAAAAGTTTTTGTCTTACATTAGTTACAAGGGAAAAATATTTCACTAAAGTATGATCATGACTAGCCTTATCGTACTTAAAATTATCCTTCCAAATAAAAGCCAATGTCTTAATCTTTAATCTTGAAATAGTATAAAGGTTTATTATTTGTTTTTATAGGGTAAATTCACAGCTAACTGGCAAAGAATTCTATGCTGAAACTTGATGTAATATTAGAATAAAATTCTGTTTTATAAGCCAGTAGGTTTGGCAAGACAGGTTCCCATATAGTTTTTTGAAACTACAGGTATTTGTGAAAGCAACTAACCTAGTATTATGATGTCCTTTACATATAAAAAATAATCAGCAATAGATGATGTGCTTTATTTCTACTAGAAGTGGTTTTTTTTAATTAACATATAATATCTTATTAGCCCCAAGGGTACAAGTCTGTGAATCACCAGGTTTATACACTTTACAGCACTCACTATAGCACATACCTTCCCTAATGTCCATAACCCCACCACCCTCTCCCTACCACCACCCCCCCCCACCAGCAACCCTCAGTTTCTCTTATGGGATTAAGCGTCTCTTATGGTTTGTCTCCCTCCCAATCCCATTAATAGAAGCGGTTTTTATTTAATTCCAACACAAGTGGTTTTTATTTGTTCACACCATCAGTAACAAGAAACACTGGTAACTAAGAGCAAAGAATTACAACCTGCGAGAGAAATATGGCTTGTGTAATTTACATAAAGTTATCAAAATCTCAGCAACTGTCATGTCAAACTTACTAGAAAATTTTGCTGTTCCTTAGTCATGACAGCAGCAGGTGGACAAATCCAACAAGACAATTCCGTGAGGAATACAAATATAAGGCTGCCTATAGGGCATAATGCAGGCTTCAGGAAAAGTGAGTGGGGCCTATGGTTTTGTTCATACTATAGCTTTGTAATGTGGGGCCACCAAGTGCAACAGTCAAGAAAGAACTCTTGAGACATTTTACAGTACAAAAAGGTGCTTTTATTAGAGCAGGGACAGGACCCATGACCAGAAAGAGCTGCACTGTGATTGTGAGGCATGACTGATTATATACTTTAAGTTTGCACCGAGGCAGTATGGGGGGGCGAGGGAAGATGATCAGAGATAAGTTTCTAAAGAATTTCTGCATGCTGAAAGTGAGGTTTACAGGACCTTGGCGATCTGGTTATTGTCAAGATAAGGTTGCTTTTAGTCTATTAGTAAACATCAACATGAAGGCAGCCTTGAGTTTCTTGAGGTATGTCACACTCTGCATGTCTCAGGTATTAATGGGCTACAAGTTGTAAAGAGATTTAATTTTAGCTACATTTTTCTTGCCTTTGTTTATAATTTCAATATTATAAAATCACATAATTTCTAAATGGCAACAATTAAACACACACAGCAGACCAAACAAAACACATCTGCAAGCCAAGCACGACCCACCCATTAACAGTTTAGTATCTGTAATGCAGTTAAACAAAGAACACCTCTTAGTACAACTAAAGTCTACAGAACAGTTTTCCTCCTAATATACCAACTGTAGAAAATAGTGATTTTGCAGATAATTCTAATTAAGCAGAGTTGCATTCCCTTTCCACAGTGTTCTAATTCAGATAAGGTGAAAAATGCCACTTACTACTGCTGGCCTTTAGATCAGTAGTTCTCAAAGTGGGGTCCCAGACCAGCACCATTAAGGAATGTTAGGCACTTGATAGAAATGCAAGTTCTTATCGTACCTAAATCCTACCTCAGACCTACAGAATCTGACACTCTGGAGCAGAGCCCAAGAATCTGCGCTAATAAGCCCTCCAGGTGATTCTCATGCACGCTACCATCTTGAGAATCATGGCTCCAAAACACCAATTTCTGATTTTGCTTCCCCACCACCTCCAGAGATTTCCTACACACGGTAGGAGCCGTGTACTTATGGGCAGGGAGCAGACCATGTTCTGAATGGCACTGCCAAGTAAGGAGATTCCCAGATGTCTCAAGCAGCAGCCAGGACTAGCTGCATGACTCCACTCACTCGGCCACCTCCATCTGGAAATCAGATTGGTTTCAAAGAGCTCTAAAAGCAAATTTTCTACATACCCTGTGGAGGTTTCTGATGACTTTTCACAAAGTCAGCCCCACATAAATGGTTGAGTTTCCCTCTGGTCCCATCATTAAACAGCTGAACTGACAGCCCCTGGGTGATGTAGTGTTCCATTTCTCTCAGCTTCAGGGCCCCTATGCCATTTGCACAGTCAACTTTAAGTGATCTATTTTCATCTCCACTGCAAGAAGCCTTAAAAGGAAAAGACACACAGAAGAAAAATCTCAAGTTATAAAAGAGTGAAACATAAAGCACATATAGTTATATGTAAACATCTTCCACTGTTTCAGTTACCTTAACTATTTTAACCTGGGAAACAAAGGGTACACACATTCAGGTGAAAATTGTAGAAAACTAAAAATTTAAAAACTGTTTTTTGGGTGCTGACACTAGAACAGTTTCACTGACTGAATAACTTATGGAAATGGAGCTTTGTCAAAATTTAGACTCAGTTAAGCAGGGTCCCTTTAAAATACTCCTGCAGCCTGTATTACATGACAGGCATTCAAATATGGGAAAGAGTGTACAGACAGAAGAGCAGGATAACGCCGGTCATTCTCTTCACAGTGCATAATACCGCTGGGCATGTCCGGGTTTTTCCTTGTCCGTCTCCTCTCTGGCCCATCCTCACTTCAGAATATCAACTCTATGAGCACAAGGGCTCTGTTTTGGTTAACAACATGCACTCAATATTTGCTGGTCAAATTAATTACAACCCCCAAATCTCAACCAGGTTTAAGAAGCTAATCGACCCAGAGGAAAATCTTTCTCAGCAGTGAACACCTCAGATGTCACAGTGCCAACAGCACCTAATATTAAACCTACAAGAAAATGCATCTGAGTATTTATGAAACCACAAGAACCCCATGTTTTCTCTCCAATGATCTCAGAATGTACTATATGCCTTGCCAAGTAAATGCCAACAGACATTCAGCAGCATACAAGGGTCAAACCTTGTGGGGCCCTAGAAAGATAAAGAAAATACACCATATTTTTGCAAAAAGAAGAAACAGTGACAAACTAAGTTAAATTATTCAACAGATGTTATTTGAAGCATTTGCTTAAACGCTAAACCACATTCAAGAGATTTTCACCTGCTTGGTAAGCTCCATAAAAGCCTTAGAGAGTTTCTCATAGTAACCTTCTATGGTTGCCTTTCCATACTGGCCACCAGTATTTCGACAGTACACCATGTAGTGCAGCTGGGGTGTTGTTAACAAGCCATAATCTGTCAGAGGAATACAAAAAGCAATTTGTCACATTTCTTAATAAACAAAACAAAAAAGTTTAAATGGATTCATACCATATGAATTTGAGAGTGACCCATCTTTAAAAAAAGACATCTCAGAAAACTAAAATGCTAATTTCCAAACTATTCAGAAATATGCATAAATATCCACTGAAATCATTACAACTAACTTACGTTATGATGTTGTGATTTATAGTAAGAAATAGAGAATTGGTCTTTGTCTCCATTGCTGGAAGGGCTTCTAAACCCTTAGAATTTCTAAGTGATGGCAGCAAGGAATTAACTGTCTTTTGTTATGCTAATGAGACGACAAGGAAGGCTCCCAGAGCCCCCTAAGATGGGGCTGGTTGCTGGGGAAACCAACCAAGTGATTAGAGTTGGAACTTTCAATCTCTCCCTTATTTCTGGGTTCCTTGCCACTCCAGGGAGAGAAAAGAAGGGTTAGAGACTGCGTTCAAATAGCAACGGCCAATCACTTATTGGTCATGCCTATGTAATAAAGCCTCCATAAAAAAAAAAACAAAAGGCTGGGGTTTGGCTTGGTAAATGTGCACAGACTGGGGAAAGTGGTTGCCCAGACAGCAAGGAAGCTCCATGCCCCTTCCCGCATACCTTGCCCTTTGCAGCTCTTCCAACTGGCTGCTCCTGAGTGCTATCCTTTATAATACACTGGTAATCTAGTAAGTAAAATGTTTCTCTGAGTTCTGCGAGCACTTTAGCAAATTAATCAAACCAAGGAGGAGGGTGGTGTCAGAAGCCCAGGTGACTGAATTCTGAAATGGGGGGAGGGGAGGAGACTTGTGGCACTGAGCCCTTTACATATGGGATCTAAACCTACCGGCTAGGTAGATAATGTCAGAGAATTAACTTAATTGGTAGTTAGAAGAACACACACATTGGACATATACTCAAGTCCAGATGAAATATGAACTACTACTGATGACTAAAAAAATAATCATTTAGGGGTGCCTGGGTGGCTCAGTAGTTAAGCGTCTGCCTTCGGCTCAGGTCATGATCCCAGGCTCCTGGGATCGAGCCCACATCGGGCTCGGCTCTATGGGAAGCCTGCTTCTCCCTCTCCCATTCCCCCTGCTTGTGTGCTCTCTCTCTGGGTCTCTGTCAAATAAACAAATAAAATCTTAAAAAAAAAAATCATTTAATATGGGCAGGTAACATAAAAATAGAGCAATATAAGAAAATAATAACTGAGTTCTATTTCCAATAACAACTGCGTAATTCAGATGAACCCTCCTCCTGAAAACCACCAAAACCACTAGATAAAAGAAGTATCTCTTTTTTAAAAAGCACTGCTGAGCCATTAAGTTATAGAGGACTAAGGCCAAAATGTCTGTGAAGAGAGGAACTCCAAAATTTGAGCGCTGGGAACCCAGTTTTGCCGTGAAACCGTAAATTCACCTACTGCTTTTGGTACAAAAAATCTGTGCTGACCCAAGATGGGAAGGAAACCCAGTTAGAAGTCCAGCCCCTCATGAAGCTGAAACCTCAAAGAACTATTCTGCAGTGCAAGGCTGAGTCAGAACGGAATTAGCTCCAAGTGCCCACTCCTAGGAGATTTGTCTTGACACCAAGAAGACCAGGAGATAATCCATCCCTGAAGGGCTGTCACCAGATAGGCCTCCCCCGATTTCTAGCCTAAATCACATAACCACAGGGGTCCAGGAGAACTCCATCATCAAAACAACTTGTCATCTACCAGTCAGGTAGCACCCCCAGCCACCCAAGCAAAAGCAATAACCAAACTTTGCCACAGAAAGAGGCCTTCACCATAAACCTCAAAAATGTTCCACAAATAATTTCCTAATATAAACAAGCAGCTTATAGACAAAAATAGCAAACCACACAAGAAAAGCACCAAAAGCAAAAGCAAGAAACAGGAGAAATAGCAGAGATGAACCAATATTTAAAAAATATTCAGTAACTAAACCCATCAGAGGTCTTCAAAGTCAAGCACAAGAGTTTGGACTATAGACAAAAAGTCAAGCTACTAAGCCCTGCAGGTATACAACAGAAATGGTATTTATTAAAGGCAGTTATGGCTCTGATACAAGGATCGCATGAGAGGAGGAGGAGGAGGAGCTCAAAAGAGTAGATCAGCACTTAACATAGTTTAGTGGAGGTGTGTAAGGAGAGGAAAACAATATTCCAAAAGACTTACTCAAGGCCAGAACGAAAGGATTTTATGACCAACATCAACATTAGCGAATAAACATTTACTCAATAAATTTTTACTCAAAGAGAAAATGACTATTATGGAGTTAACTCACCTGTTCCACCGATCAACCCAGAAACCAAGAAGCCATTCTTCACAGCTCTAGCCTCATCAAGTATCACAAAATCTTTTCAAGTCACTACTAATTTCAAACTTTTCCATTCTCTTGCTATCATCACTTTTTTTTTTCCTGTCATCACTCTTAAATGAACTGTTGTACAGTCTCTTTTCCTTAGAACCTTCCTATCTCTCTACACAAAAGTCAGAGTGAAAAGCCAGAGTGACTGACTTAAAATGGAAATGTGATCATATTCCCATGCATAAAACCCTTCCAGGGAGTTCCTGTGCATTTGAATTAAAACCCAAATCTTCACCACAACCCACAAGGCTTCGGATGTTATGACCCATGTTATGATCCCTAACCTTATCTACTAGCTTCCCCCATCCTCCTTTTGCTGTGGCTACATTGACCTTTCATTTCCTCAAGTACACTAAGCTGAAGGGAGAAATGATGGAGAGGTTAAAAATAAAAAATTTACTCTCAAATTTTTATAGACTAAAACATTAGAAAAGTGATGGTATAAACAGTTTTAGGCCAAATGAAGCTGGGGTAAGGGCAGATCACCTAAGTGGAGACCTCACTCAACCAGTGCTTTACAAATTGCAGACCTGAATCCCTGAGGGGTCATGGAATCCACTTTGTGAGACCCAACCAGCAGTTTTGCGTTTTTTGTTTTTTGTTTTTTTAAATAACACAGATGAATGCATGTCATGCAGTGTCAGTATTACTTTTTGATACTTTTGTGTCAGTTATACATACAAGTACACATACACACATCATGATACAAAATGTGTTTCTTACTGTAAGTTGTGAGTGGCCTGAAATAAACTCCCTGGAGGGTTGTACATAGCAGGCAGTCAAAAATGTTTGATAAGCTAATAAATGAAAAGTTAAACTATACATAGGTGGAGCTTTGACTGTAAAGATGATCATTCAGAAATCAAGCAGAATGGAGAGAGAAATAAGGAACATCCATATGGAGAGGGTGAGCCCACATAGAAGACTGAGAAGGAATAGTGGCCAAGGAAGTAAAAGCTTCAAGAAAGAAAGGAAGAGGTCACAGTGTGGAGAGCTATAAGACAGCAACTGGAAAACTTCAAAATATAAATTCTGAAAGTTATTTTTTAGGTCACAGATCCCTTGAGTATCTGACAAAAGCAACGACTCTTCTCCCTAGGAAAATACATGCACCAGTAACACTCCACACACTGTATCAAGAGGTCAGCCAGGTCCCTGCAGCTTAACCACACATTTCCCAGGAAGCCCAGGCCCCAGGCTAAGAATCCCCACTTTATAAAAACCACTGGATTTGGCAGTTAGAATTCAGATGAGTGTTGAGAGAGATACTTCGCTGAAGGGACAAGGATGGAGACTGCCTGCAGTGGGCTAAGTAATGACTGGAAAAGCAGAGAAGTAAGCCAAGAGAGCTCTTGGAAGAGGCCAAATTAACTTTGAAAAGAAGAGCACAGGGCAAGTGGAAAGGAGGTTAAAAAGGTCTTTAAATGAGAAACTAGGGAGATAATAGGGAAATCCACCTCCAAGCAAAATCGAGTCACTGCGTTTACAAGGGGCATGACTGGTGAGAGAAGAGAATTCTAGTCTCCATTTTCTGTCATGTAATTCTTCATTGGATAAAATAAAACTACCTGCCAAAACTTAAAATCAGATTATGTAAGTAGGCCAAAGATATTTTCCACCATCTGACAGGTAAATCAGATGTGATCAGCTATTTGGGACTACATGATATTGACAAAAGCTCCCCAGAATGAACATCTTCAAGTAACTTGAAAGGTTTTTATATCAGGAATTTGGCCTTACTAAAGTAAGGTAAGATCAGTATTTCTTACATATAATCTCTTACAGCTAAAACAAAATATGCACATCCAGAAAATTTTTTTAACTTTTTTTAAACTTAAAAAGCTAGTATTTTATACCTAGAAGTTCATTTTTTTTTTAAATTTTTTTTTATTTGAGAGAAAGAGGGAGAGATTGAGTGCATGTGCAAATGAGGGGAAGGGCAAAGGAAGAGAATCTTTTTTTTTTTTTTTAAGATTTTATTTTTTTACTTGACAAAGAGAGATCACAAGTAGTCAGAGAGGCAGACAGAGAGAGGGAGGAAGCAGGCTCCCCGCTGAGCAGAGAGCCCAATGTGGGGCTCAATCCCAGGACCATGAGATCATGACCTAAGCCAAAGGCAATGGCCTAACCCACTGAGCCACCCAGGCGCCCCAGGAAGAGAATCTTTAAACAGACTCCTCAGCAAGTATGAAGCCCAATAAGGGGCTCCATCCCAGGAACCATGAGATCATAACCTGAGCCGAAGGCAATGGCCTAACCCACTGAGCCACCCAGGCGCCCCAGGAAGAGAATCTTTAAGCAGACTCCTCAGCAAGTATGGAGCCCAATAAGGGGCTCCATCCCAGGACCCATGAGATCATAACCTGAGCTGAAAACAACAGTCTGATGCTTAACTGACTGAGCCACCTAGGTGCCCCTGTACCTGGAAGTTCATTTTTTAAAAACTTCTTTTATCTATACTTTCAAACTTTTCTAAAATAAACGGTACTACTTTTACAACTTTCTTAAAAATTAAGTTTTTTTAAGGTTAATTTACAACTCGGGATAGCTACATACCATGGAATTGACCTTCTAAAACAGTCACACCATCTATTACAGACTGTGAAAGTTTCTCACTGCTGGGCCTAGAAAAGAAAAGGAAGAAAATAACACATCCCATCCTGAAACCAAGAGATGCTAATTCTGAAAGCAAATACAGAAATTATGTGCTACAAATATCAGGATAATAGGTTCACAGTATCTGAGCTGAAACCTGCAAAGTTTGAAAACCCTGCAAAGATAATACAGGTAGAGTATTAGCATTTTCCGGCAGCCTTTTACAATACATTTCTTGGAGTTTGGCTTTCAAATGAATTTAGAGAATAAATATAAAAATACATTAATTACACCACACCCAGAAACCTTTTCAAGTTTGACTGTAACATATACATTATCTAAAAACAGTAGCAATAAATACTGAATGCGAACACTTCATATAATGCAGTACTGGGTATTAAACCACCAACGATATAGAACTTATTTTTCATTTGAAAAAAATCAGAACAAATTATCTGCCTGAAAAGAAAGGAGATAATAAAGGAAAAGATAATAAATAAAAATAGAAAATAAAGGAGATAACTGCCTGTAGAAAATGATGTTCTAGATCATTTAAACTAGTTAATTGGTAAGAGGTAATTACATGTGGGATGGCTTTACCATGGGATAATAATTTGTTTCAGAACATAAGTCACTAGGCTACTTCTGATACATATAAATCCACAATTAATGGTATTTAGAAATCTCTCTGGTAACACATTAAGGATAAAATACCAGACATTATCCTAATGTCCTATCAATAAGACTATGACTAGAAATTTCCTTTAGAAAGATACTCTGGCTAAAATGAGATCTCACAGTAAATCTTGAAACAGAATCCTTCTGTTTCAACGTACACTTTTAATCCAACATTTTACAGTATCTTTTTGTAAAGGAAGACGAAAGCTGCCAAATATGGCAAGCAGTCCCCTCCTGTCCATGGTTTCGCTGGCCATGGTCTGTCACCCGAGGTCAACTGTAGTCCAGAAGCAGATGATCCACCTTCTGACATACCGTCAGGTCAACAGGAGCCTAACACTACATCACAATGCCTACATCACATCCTCTCTCACACACGCATTTTTATCATCCCACATAATCACAAGAAAGAGAAGGGGGAGTACAGTACAATAAGATATTTTGAAAGAGAGAGAGACTACACTCACAACTTTATTATAGTATGTTGTTACATTGCTTTTATTATTATTGTTGATCTCCTACTGTGCTTAACTTATAAATTAATCTTTATCATAGGGGCACTTGGGTGGCTCTGTTAAGCATCTGACTCTCAATTTTAGCTCAGGTTATGATCACAGGGTCATGAGATCAAGCCCCACCTAAGGCTCAGCACTGGGTGCACTGCCTGGGATTCTCTCTCCCCCCACCGGCTACTGCCCCAATTCGTGCGCTCTCTCTCTAAAATAAATAAAGAAGATCTTTAAAAAATTAATCTTTATCAAATTATGTATATATAGAGAAAAACATAGAGTTCAGTACTATCCATGGTTTCAGGCATACACTGGGGGTCTTGGAATGTATCCCCTGCAAATAAGAGTGGGGGGGACTACTATATGTAGAAATAACATATTGTTGTTGTTATTAAGATTTTATTTATTTGACTGAGAGAGACAGAGAGCAAGAGAGGGAACACAAGCAGGGGGAATGGGAGAGGAAGAAGCAGGCTTCAAACTGAGAGGGAAGCCCGATCCAGAACTCCATCCCAGGATCCTGGGATTATGACCTGAGCCACCCAGGCGCCCCCAGAGATAATATATTGTTTTCCGGTAAACTCCAGCATGGAAAAATGATATAAATATATGAACCAATAATAATGCAGATTATGAGATGAATCTATAAGTATTAAATTACAAGCAAGTGTTCTTCCTCTGTAGGAATAAGTAGTAAATCTCCAGAAGTAAAGGGGTGGGAGAAATATGTACTTCTCTCAGGTCAGGAAATAGGTATTTTCATACACTATCTTATGTAATCTTCACAAAAGCTCTGTGTTGGGATTTAACATCAACATTTTAGAGATGGGCCTATGGAAGCTCCAAACATGAGGTAACCTATCCAACTATACAGTGTTGGAGCGGATTAGCTCCTACATCCTACTAAAAACAAAAAGGCCAAGTAGGTAGAGGAGCCTCTTAGGGGAGTTCCACTTAATTCTTTCAATTTATCATGAGTATTAAAACTAACGCAATCACTTAGGTCCAGTTCCCAAAACTGCTTTCACCAGTAATGTGATGGTCACCTGGTATCTCTACCAATCACTACGAAGGCATCTTGTTGCAGATTCACGGCTGCTTTCACACTGATGTCCATCAACACTCTTGGCATGTCTTGTTCCTCAGCATTTGCCAAACAGGTAGCATGTTCCTCCCAGGACGGTGCCAACATTTCACCCAAAGGATCAACCAATTTTACCCCATTGTCTTCCTTAAAAGAAAAGCAAACAATAAGCCATCTGTGCATATTCACAAGGGTGAGCTGAGGAAGTAAACTCAAGCTGTTTTCCCCTAAATAAGACACTGACGGCAGAGTGGCTTCGCCTGTGACCGTATGGCATGCCAGGCAGTGGACTAGGTGTTTTTTAATAAATCCTCATAACAAACATCAATCTTACTAATAATCCTATTTTTATTCCAATCTTACTTTGGAAAAAACAGAGATTCAGAGCAAGTGAATTCACCACCAATTACATACCAGGGCACAAACGGAGCGGAATGAGGGCACCAAGAGATCCTCCTCATTATGACCCTGGACTCTTTTAAGAACATACTGGCCAATGTATCAAAAGTGGGTGACAGAAGCTGAAAACTGACTCCCAATTCTGTTCTGCTCAAATTTTGGGGAAGAAATAAAGTGTAGTTCAGAGTAAATGTCAACTGAAGGAAACAGTTCAGTATTATTTTAAGAAGTACTTTAGAACTGCAATAAATAGAGGCTTCAGCCCACAAGTCATTAATTGTGGTGATTTAGACATTCAGACACACTTTTATAATGATCCACATTTACAAGCTGGAGTGGGGGTAAGAGGAGGTTATAATCCTTCACAGACCTACACAGCTTTAATTTGCGGCTGATTTAGCAACAAAGGCAAAGTCTCATGTTCTTGCCATCAAATAGAGGCAAGTTATTCAAACTACATATTAGTGAGCTATCAGCAGTATAAAATAAAACAGTTAAACTGTGTCAAAAAGAATATTTTGCTTAAAAAAAAAAAGTTGGGAGTGCTTGGGTGGCTCAGCCGGTTAAGGGTCCAACCCTTGTTTCGGCTCAGGTCATGATTTCAGGGTCATGGGATCAGGATCAAGCCCCACGTCAGGCTCTGCATTCAGCAGGGAGTCTGCGTAAGATTCGCTCTCCCTCTCTGTCTCTCCCTGGCTCGCACTCTCTCTTAAAAAAAAAAAAAAGTAACTGTCTAACACTAGAACCAAAATAACCTGCCCAAAGCCCACTTTTGTATACATGGTGCCACCTGTCTGTTCATTCAGAACAGTAAACTCTTCCTTACTATTCCCTAACTACAGAAAACGGGTCTACGGGCGCCTGGATGGTTCAGTCGGTTAAGCAGCTGCCTTCGGCTCAGGGTCCTGAGATCAAGTCCCACATTGGGCTCCCTGCTTAGTGGGAGGAGTCTGCTTCTCCCTTTCCCTCTGCTGCAACCCCTGCTTGTGCTCTCTCGCTCATGCGCGCTCTCAAATACATAAATAAAATCTTAAAAAAAATAAAAAAAGAAAACCAGTCTAAAAAATTTTCAAAATGCACTAAATCTTTTTAAATATTTGCCCTTCTCCCCACCTTGGCTCCAATCTCTAATCCCTACTAAATTAACACAAGTAATACTTCTTGTTACTGATACTGTCTCAATGCAACTAACTTGGAAGGACATTCTGTTATTTCTTTAATAGGGACACAGTCCAAGAAATAACTCTCATTCTCTCCACACCCTCTATAGTCATGAGCTAAATGACCACTCATCAAGAAAAAGCCATTTCAGGGGCGCCTGAGCAGCTCAGTCATTTAAAGGTCTGACACTTGATTTCAGCTCAGGTTGTGTGTGGTCTCAAGGTTGAGAGATCCAGCCTAGTGTCACGCTCTGCCATTAGCGATGAGTCAGCTTGGGATTCTCCTTCTCCCTCTGCTCCTCCCCTTGCATGTACTCTCGCTCTCTAAAATAAATTAATCTTGAAGAAAAAGCCATTTCGGGGGCACCTGGGTGGCTCAGTCATTAGGCGTCTGCCTTCGGCTCAGGTCATGATCCTAGCCAGGGTCCTGGGATCATCGGGCTCTCTGCTCTGCTGGAAGCCTGCTTCTCCCTCTCCCACTCCCCCTGCTTGTGTTCCCTCCCTCACTATCGCTCTGTGTCAAATAAATAAATAAAATCTTAAAAAAAAAAAAAAAAAAGCCGTTTCAAAAACAAAGGCACATACTGAGTAGGCACATTCCTAGAATTAGATTTTGTACTTTGGGTCAAAGTGCTCAGACACTAAGATGTGTTCTTGTAAATAAAGGTTTGCTTTATAACAGCACTAAAGGCGTTACCTCAGGATTATGTGATGCAGTTACCATGACTCCTATTGTAGACTTGGTCTGTTTTGACCTCAGGACAGCTAACAATCCCATGCGAAACATGACATGATCAAGATGTTCTGCTTTTGTTCGAAAACCAGCAGTCCCATATTGAAGAACGAGTCCACTGGGCTTGGCGTGTAATGCTGAGTGTTCTTTTACAGCATCTAAATCCATGTCTACAAAATTAAGGAATATTTTTCAAGCAAAAGAAATTTTTACAGGACCATTTGCTTCAACAACTGCCACCCTGAACTAATAGGTCTGCCTCATTCTGAAACCCCACAAAAAATTTTTTGAGAAAGAAAACAATGGTACAATAAAGTTCTGGAGGTAGACATTACCTAGAAGATCCTGCCCAAATTGTATCATTCACTCCAGGGCAGATGGTAATTACCCCAACTCATCTCTCATTTTGGCTCCAGGGCTATTCCTGGACACAGGGTAAATTTAAAATGGTCTACTCTCAACTAAAACGAAGATTCCACACATAGACTCATAGACTCCTACGCAATCAAAGATTACCTCCCTTCACAAATGGAAAAACTTAAGCTTGGACCTCAAATAACCTAAATTTACATGGGTAGTTAGTGACAAATGGGGCCTAAGGTTATACTGTCAAAAGGACTGGGACTACATATCCAAAATATCTAGGAAATCTGTTGGTTCTTCTGTTATTCTTCCCAGACCACACACACAGAGACACACGCCCAGAGGAAAAGGGAAGGGCAAAAGCTTCCTCTCTAAGACTGCCCCAACCTCCTAATGTACCTCACAGAGGATTTTTCTATTTTTGTAAGGGAGGATCAGGACACCCTTCTAAATTAAGCTCTGAAAGCAACATCTTCCTTTTACCTTTAATTGGCTCCTAGCCCACTAGTAATTCCTTCTCTGCGATACTCCAATTTTAAGTGAACCTTGGGGGTTTCCAACCTCAGCTGTATGTACTTCTTGGATCAGTCCCATTCCCAATTAGCCCAGGGATGAGCACCAGTCCTATCTTGTTTTCTTCATTTTCCTTCGTTGCTTCAATGAACAAAAGTTAAAGGAAATGGTGAAAAATTTTTGCTTTTGTCCAGCTAGAAAAAACTGGTATTCAGCAAGCTAATTTAGTTTGGTCCAAAGTGACCAAATCTCTTTCACAAACATCAATACACTTCGTTTAAAAACTGACCATTCGGTAATACATCATGATTACTCAGAAGGGCCTAAACCAGTCCTGTAAAATCTAGGGGGGAAAAAAAAAAATTATTTATTTATTTATTTTATTTTATTTTTTTTATAAAAAAGATAAAACGCTTCCACCCTTTCAAAGCGTCTTCGGTCCTAAAACTACATTCAGTGAGTGTGCGAATGCTTTTATTCAAAGCACTTAAGAGCCCAGTGACCACTCTAAAAAAGTAGAGAGCATCCCCCTTCCTCCATTCAATTATCAACCGCTTGTTTGTTCCGCTTCCCTTCCAGCCCCCAAATGGCCGCACCTTTCCCAACTCTCAACCCTGAGGCACCACCTCCCGCCCCAGGTCTCTGGGCCAGAACACCCAGCACGAGACCCTCGGGCCCGCTCTGAAGGCGCAGGGCGGTGCGTCCCGCGCGCGGTCCGCGGGTCAGTCCGCTAGCCTACCCGCAGCCCATCGGTAGGCCGAACCCTTACCGACTGGAAACTCCATTCCAGTCGCCTAGCTTAAGAGCCCCACTCACCTCCGCCAGAAGATAACCCCCTCACCTCCACCTCACAGAACTGATCCGCGGCGGCACCTCCCACCTACTGAAGCTCTCCGAACCCGCAGACGTGGCCCTGCGTGTCTTCCGGTCCATAGCCGCGCCCCCCCCAGCCAATCACGGCCGGGGAGGATCTGCCGGCCCCGCCTCTCCTCGTTGCGGATCATGCGCAGCTCGCGCCTGCGGAACTGCGGATCTCGGGTCTGACAGGGTTTGGGGCTGTTTCCATTGAATGACCGGGAAGGGTGAGGCCCCCGCGGTGGCCCAGGGGTTGGGGCCGAGGGTCGTGGGCCATCAGAGCACTGCGACCGGCAAAAAACGCAGTCCCCGCATCCAAATTTGGGTCTCAGAGGGTGGCAGTCTTGCGTTCCTGGGAAGCCAGGGTTCCTAGTGGTCGCAGATGGGGGGTACCAAGCCTGATTTGGGGCATCTGACAAGGTGGCCTCGGGCATTTCCCCTTTACCCGCATCCCCATCTAGATCTTCGAGGTTCATCTCCCCAAAGTGACTCCCGGAGCCTTCTCGAGCCGCTGCCCCCACCCCATCTCTCCGCACTAGCTCACACTAAACATTGTTTCATTAATGTACCTGTAAGATTCCCCCTCAGCCTGGGCCCCTCGGGACAGAGGCCAAATGGACCCAAATCGTCCGGAGCTATCAAGATGCCATCCCGGGGTGATGTGGCTCCCCAGAGAGTCGTAAAGGCCCGCTCGGGAGGGGTCCTTGGCGCTGGGGCCGAGGCTCCGCAACTGGGGGCGGCGGGGCCCTCAAGACCCCAGAACCTAGGGATGCGACCACAGCCTCTCCAGACTGCGGGCCTCCCTCGCCACAGGGCGCAGCTCCGCCCAAGCCGGAGACCCTACTGGGATTCGCAAGTTGGGCTCCTTGCCTCTCCCAGAATTCAGGCTTGCAGAGTATCTGCAGGGGTTTGCGAACCTCCTGCAACGGAATAATTTGGAACACCTGTTGAAACTCCAGATTCCCGGATTTGAAGCGGGGGTGGGGGTGGGGAGGTAACGGACTGGGAATCTGAATTTTAACGAGGTGTCTTAAGGGATGCTGTGCATACTAGACTTGGGGGTTGAGAGATAAAGCGAAGAAAGAGTGTAAGCGTCCCCTGTTTTTGCCCCTAGCTGTCGGTGCATAGCGTTCCTGCAAAACTGCTGAACGGAAAAGGACCTTCGGGAAATTTCTCTGGACACCGCTGAAATTAACAAACCTAGTGGCCCTGGGCCTTTCCAGTTTTTCCGGGCAAGTGGATTTCGAGGCAACATGTCTGCTTCAATGAAAGAATGCCTGCAGCTTCAGCTGCTGGAGATGGAAATGCTGTTTTCTATGTTTCCTAACCAAGGCGAAGTAAAACTTGAAGATGTAAATGTCCTGACGAATATAAAGCGATATTTGGAAGGCACGAGGGAGGCGCTGCCGCCAAAAATTGAATTTGTGATTACCCTCCAGATTGAGGAGCCCAAGGTAAGTACTCTGCGTTGTTTTCATTGTTGCCAGGTGCCCGGTTTTTTTGTTTGTTTGTTTGTTTTTGTTTTTTTTTTAGTGGAAACACTTGGAACATGAGATTTTTGTCCAGGAAGCAAATAGAGAATATTCCAAATTCATATATCCTTTATTTGTTTGAAAGTGAAATGTGTAAAACATGGGATGCCCTTGTAAATTGTCTTCAATAAATATCTTGAATTTTACATAAATATGCACATCTTTTTAACAAATATGTGGTGTTTTTATTAAAAACGTCTGGCAGTCTCATACTACCATTACTATTCTGTTCACTCACGTTTTTTACAGTTCCAACTATTGTAGTATATATTGTATTGTACATGTATCATGATTTTTATAAAGCTAAATATTGCCTTTAGCAAAACTGACTTGTAAGGAGTGGATGAATGTTTCTTTGGTGGCACCATGACACAAAGCAAATACAGACAGGAAATCTAAATCCTTAAAGTGAATTTACCTTCATCTTCTGATCCATTGTCTCTAGCAACATGAGCATAGCATAGGTAACAAGTGGACTAGGCTTTTGAGAACGCCTCCTCTAGTGATTTCCTGCTCACCCTTCAGCTGTCATTCCCTTAAAGAAGATCTCCTGCTTCCCAGAGTGACTTCTGTCTCACCAGTCACACATTTCATCAGATCCCTGTGCTTCTCACCGTTGAAATTAAGTACTTGCGATGTGTAATGATTAGTTTAATGTCTTTCTCCTTTACGAGGCTCTGGTCTTCAGGAAGAGCAGAAATTGTGTTGCATCTAGCTTCTTCACTTCTTCATCCTAGCATGGGGTCCCTGACACATGGTGAGCATTCAGTAAACACTGGAATGCGTAAATGCATAAATGGAAGAAATAGCGTATGTGGTGTTCTCAGTACAGTCTCTGGCCCATAGCTGACAGTAGTAGCGATAACTGTTACGTTTATCAAAATCATGCCGTTGCCACTGATAAACTAGCTTAGTTGATTTTCTGGTTCTTAAATCTGTTTGATTTTCATTTTAAGGTGAAAATTGATTTGCAAGTAGCCATGCCTCACAACTACCCCTACGCAGCGCTGCAGCTATTCGGACGGTCGTCTGAGCTCGACCGACAACAGCAACTCCTGCTCAACAAGGGTCTCACTTCCCACATAGGGACTTTTGATCCAGGTGAGCTCTGTGTCTGTGCCGCAATCCAGTGGTTGCAGGACAATAGTTCCTCCTATTTTCTGAACAGAAAGCTTGTTTATGAACCATCTACACAAGCAAAGCCAGTCAAGAACACATTCCTCCGAATGTGGATCTACAGTCACCATATATATCAGCAGGACCTAAGAAAAAAGATTTTGGATGTTGGGAAAAGGTTGGATGTGACTGGATTTTGCATGACAGGAAAGCCGGGTATAATCTGTGTGGAGGGCTTCAAAGAGCACTGTGAGGAGTTCTGGCACACAATTAGGTACCCCAACTGGAAACACATTTCCTGTAAGCATGCTGAAAGTGTCGAAACTGAAGGAAATGGAGAGGATCTGCGCCTTTTCCATTCTTTCGAAGAATTGCTCCTTGAGGCCCATGGCGACTATGGATTAAGGAACGACTATCACATGAACCTGGGCCAGTTCTTAGAATTTCTCAAAAAACATAAAAGTGAGCATGTGTTCCAGATATTATTTGGTATTGAAAGTAAAAGTTCAGACGCCTAGGAAGCTAGTAAGAGGCCTGTGCTTATAATTTCTCTAAGTCGGTATTTCTGTGAATAAGACCAAAATAAAAGGGCCAGTGGCTGTTTGGCATCCTCTGTGAGACCCCTAGCCCCACAATTTTTACCTGGTAATGAAACACAAAGGCCTTTTAACTTTATAACAGTGCAATTGTGATGTTATCTCTATGTTCTTGTGTTAACTGAAAACTATTTAATTGTAAATTAATAAAAACAGTCAATTTAACCAGCAAAACTGACTTGATTAAAGAGGCGTCCAAAGCCTGTAATTAATATCAATAGTCAAACTGCAGCTCTGAACTCATACATAATATTCCTCTCTCGTGCCATCAGCACATGATGACGCAGCACATTTTCTTTCTTTCATTATTGGGGAATGGATTCTAAGTCAAGTTTAAAGTGAGAAGAGCACATCTTGACTACATTCCTTGCTTGAAGTTAAACCCTCTGTTTATAGTTTTTTTCTTTTAGTAAAACTTGATCCTGACTATGGTAACAGAGGAATCAGAGCAGCGAAATCTCAAGAGTAATGAAGATGACACGTAGTACTCTGTGTTCTCTGCCGGGCTGTTTTCACCAGCTGATTCATGATATTAAGGATAAGGATACCATAATAGTCGTAATTCTTATACCCAAAAAAAGATGTGGTTTCATGCCTACAAAGTGTTCCCCGAGTACTACATAGTGGCAGCCTTCGCCTGTGCACCAGGACATATTGTTTGTAGGATGGGAGTGTTGAGGAGGACCACAATGGCAGGCTCTGCTCCATCACCTTGGGGGGAAAAATCAAGCCGTGCATTTCGGTGAGAAGTCACTGCCATCTCCTCTAAAAATATCTGGCTTCACCAGCCTTTGTCAAAAGTGAGTTTATTTTGATGACAGGGACCCCTATTTAACTAGCACCTGCCACACCTTCTTTTCATTGCAAAGTATCCACCCTCCCCAGGAATTTCTGGGAGTCCTACGTGTGTTAAGAGATGTCCTGAGCTGACCCTGCAACTTTCTGTGGTTTCCGTGGTCTCTCTTTAGCCACTGCTGCCCTTTCTCTGGAAACATTTCATTCTCCAGCTGCTGTCAGGCACCCCACTGATGCGCTGGTCCCCTGAGGATGCCAAAAGTGGATGTTCAAAGGGGAATGAGTGCCTCACTCCCTAGGTCATGATACATTCTCTTAGACGCCAGACATTGCTGCATATGCCGGGGAGCTTACAGAATTTTTGGTGAAATGGTACATTCTGTGTCTAGGATGCAGACACATGTCCTTGAGCTAGGGCAAGGATATAATCAACAGCAGACCCTGCACTAAGCTGACTACCTTGACCTTGAGGCCTTGGAACTGGGTCTACTCTGTCTTGCCCACACTATTAGCTCAGAATGAGTTTCTTTCCAGGGCACAACTCAGACCTTTAAACCAAGGCTCTCGTCATGGGCCTGCCCTGCCAGATGATCCAGTTTGCCCATTCATGTCTTAATCCAGCCTTGGATGTGGCTGGGGCCCAAGCCAAGGACCTTATACTTTACCTTTATCAATATACAAAGGGAAGAAGTAGAACTTATATTGCCAAAGACTCGTTTCTCAGTCTTTGTCAGGACTGAAAACAAGATAGTCTAGGAGCCAGTATCCTGCATATTCTCCCCAAGACCATCAGTAAGTAGCATTCACAAGTTTTTAGGCCCTAAACAGATGTGACTCCATTTTTTTTCCATATTAGGTGTCATCTACCTAATAATGTGCCTAACCCTCTCATAGAGGATTTTTTTTTCTATGATTAAATTAGCAGAAGTTGTGACGGAAAGATGAAGAAGCTGA